ATATATTAGAGAAGCATGACAAATTACCTCGCTACAAAGCGATTTGGAATGGTTCCTTGCCTATTCATGCGTATATTTTGTCATCTTCTCTGCTTGGTAATTAATCAAAAAGGCATATGTAATCAAGCAATGCAAGGCAACTTTTTTCGTTCTGAGATGTATAGATAAAGCATGAAGCATGTGTTACCTGACATGTACGATTAAATAAAAAATGCTTGTCAGCAGAGCTCCTTTAGGGTTGAAATGTGAAACTTACATATGCTGGTTACCCTCATTGAAATAATATAAATTACGTGAATTGAAAAGTCTCTTGTAGGCTGTAGTTGTTTTGCAAGGTAATGGATCATCAAAGTAAAAGGATATCTCTCGTTTCTAAACTTCGACTAGAAGTTTTTTTATTTTTTCTACGAGTGTCGCAGGTTTTTGTTTGTATTGTTGCTATTCTCTTATTGTTTTTTACTTTTTTGAATTCGTTTCTTTTAAATAAAGATATCTTGCACTATTATATGCATGAATCAATATTCAAGCAATAGTATTCATAATTTTTCAACTGTATAACATGATCAATTTCGAAAAACAACTTTAGAAAAACTGACACCTATTACTGTCGATTGCTAAAGCATGTAATGGGATGTTGTTCGGAATGAAAGAAATCTGTAACAGAGTGGTGGGGGAGAGGAAAACCGCGGAAATTCTACTTAAAACTCACATCCATTGTTTTTTCTTTGAAAATATGTATGAGTTCCACAATACGCACTGAGACAAATACGCTGAGCTTGATGAGAAATATAAATTGAAAGGTGATAGTCATAAATTAAACGAACTTTTTCAGCTTAGTGTTACTTATCAAATGTTAGATAAGCTGGACATCAAAAATGCGCTCAAATCACAACGATAAAGCTTCTCACAACATTTTCACTTTGTAGACGATCGTCGGCTTGAGGGTCGAATTATTGGATTTTCTTAGTATAATGTAAGAAAAAAAGAAATGCAAAAATATGAAATAAGTAGATAACAACCAAACTTTATGATACGCATGTAATCAAAGTCGCGGAACATAGGCAATTCAATCGCGATATATTAGTCTAATTAATTAATGAAACTTGCAATTTTTGTCGATTTTGAGATAAAATCGTGACTGTTCAACCATCAATTCCAATGATTCCATCTAGTTGTAGTATTTGGATCTACGACTATGGATATTGCTGAACGTATGCACTACCATCGTTAATGAGGAGAAAAATCATTTGTCTCGGCATCCGCAGTAAGTAATATTAAAAAAAGCTTTTTGTGATGCAAAAGTTCTTTTAATTTGTTGCAATGATTCGATGGCACAATCAGAACAAAAAAATAACTTTTTTAATAAAATGATCGTTATTTTTCATAGAAACTATTAGATGATTTTAATGAGAAAAGAATTTTAATCAGATAATGCTTACTGATCACTTTGATAATCAAATAACTAAAATTATAAAGAAGCTATTTTTATTAAACAATACTTTCTGCTCCTTGAAATGATCAGATAATATAAATATTAGAAGAAAATGCTAAAAGCTCATATTCATGGCATATAAAAAAGTTGCTGAGCATGAAGAAAATATACTGACCTGTGATTGATGTTCACTGCTTTAAATGCAATCAGATGATTTGTTTTTATTAATAATTTTAGTTGTGTACGGAAAGTTATTTTTAACATAAATAACAACACAAATCGAAATATAGTTACAAAAAAGATATGAACAAGTCTGTTTTAATAAATATAAGGTCGTCTTCGTTTTGGAAACCGATTATAACCACCACTATCTCGATAATTGATTGAATAGCCACCACGATTGTTAATCCATCCATGTCCATAAGACGATATCGGTGATGTTGTATGAAAAGTAGCTGGTCCTGATGAACAATATGCATTATTAAATTGTCGCTAATTAGCAAATGATGGTGAAATGTTTGTAATAACAAGTGGTAACGTTTCTGATTAAAATTATTTATTCTGTAATCGATAGTCTTGTTACTACGTATTATTACATCGATAATCATATCTACTGAAAGGACGATTAAATCCATCATAAAAGGATCTCTAATGATGTGCTATATTCGATGGAAATAGTTGATTATGAGGATACTCAGAAGAAGATTCACTAGAAGAATATTTCATATTGATTTTTATATTATGAGCACATTAACAAAAGTCCATTTCTCACTTACAATTCGAAATTGTAGATTGTATTGCTCGTTTATGTTCTGTAATTTTTCACATCAAACATATTCAAGTTGTTGATCAGATACTAGATGAACTAAATTACATAGTTGTTCGGTCGATTGTAGACAATTTGCAATATAATCAATGCTTCTATAGCTGGTCGAAGTGCAACAAGTTTTTATGCTAATTCCATCAGAGAACGTCACAGGACTTTTTTCATCCTGTCCTGCAGGACATCATCACACAGCTATCTTGCTTTGCAACATGAATGGCAAGACATTAAAAAGTTCGTCTTGGTAGGACAAAAAGCCGATCTGCATTCTGCTTGCAATACAAGTTTTTCATGGCATTACTTTAGAAAGATATAAAGCTT